CTAGAGAAAAAATGAAAAAAGATTGCAAAAAAATCTATACATTTTATCCAAAAAATATTTACAGTTAGATTGTCACTGGCGATATGTCACAAAGAACAAGTTCTCGGCAGACGGATCCGATGAGCAGCTGATTCCCGTAGGGAGCAGCAATCGAGGACGCCGAGATTAAGCTTCCGTCGTCAGCGAACGGTTCTGTGATTTCCCATGATTTGAAATCCTTCGAGAACACGATTCTCAACACCTGAACAGACAAACCTTTCTACTCAGTGCAGCGAACAATAGCTGACGCGAGCGGCCGCGCAGCGGCTGGCTCACTCATTAAAATAACTGGACTTCCGGTGCCCGGACGGCTTATAATTGCTCACTTATTGTTAGTAGAACGTGATGGATTCGAAATAATCGATGTCGCGCATTCTTTTTGATGGTTCTTGACGCTTTCCGATGCCCCTTATGTGTTTCATGTGTTACTCTATTACGACACATCTCATCCTCCATTTTCCCATATTTTTAAACAATATTCCTGCACCTTTCAGCGATGTTGAACAAATTTTTGCTGCGTCGCGACCGCACGCGTCAACTGTCCGCATATAGCACTTAAAATCGGTCAGATGTCCTATGATGTAAATGGATCAGTGAAGATGTCTTTTACAAACCTGGGACGGAGCTTTTGACTGTACTTCATCAAAGTCAGACAGTAAAGCTACTGCGTCCTTCAACACAGGATGAGCACCCTGAAAAAAGGGTGTTATCAGTCAAAAATGAACTCCGCATTCCCTTCGGGACCCACAGTCCAAACGGCTCCTGATTTGTCAAGACAGAAATTGTCAGCCGACGTCAGCGTTGGCACATCTACCACATGTGAAAGCGTATGATTATTCTGCAACAACAATTCTTACGACGGTGATTACTGTGGAATCAATCGATTTTATTGATTGGTTAGCATCTATTCTTACATTGTTCAGTTTGTACACGGAGATGGTTTCGATGTTAACGTGGGAAATGATGACATGTGTGCGCTCTTTGTTGAGGATAATACCATTTGGAGAGATCCGATCTCGACATCAGGTAGGAACTGGCCTGAAATCGACACATGAAACTGTGACCATAAAGGAAAAAAGGAAAAAATGGAGAGCTTGACCATATTCGCCGCATTCTGACCTAAAGACACATTTCGCGACTACCTAAGGAGTGCAATCCAGTCCGTTTTTGAAGTAAGTCGGTCCTCAACCAAGCACGATGTGCCATTTTTACGTCTTCAAGAAGCGTAGCAGGGCTCTGCGCTGTCCGCGAAACACGGCCCCTACCGCTAGACCTGCCTTGAACTTTTCACACCAAGGTCTGCGACTCTTCTAGTCACAACCGTTTTAGTCACAACCGTTTCTCTCTTTCTCGTCATCAGCTCTCTCTCTCGCCTTTGCGGGCACTTTCTTCTAAGCCGTAGGCTGCCGCTGTAGACCAGCGAAAGGGAGGAGCCTCTAGACTGCAGACCTAGAGACTGTAGATGCCACGCTGAAGGGACCAGCCTTCAGCTAGCGTCTACAGTTTCATATTTCAGCCCTAACAGCCACATTGCACGGCCAGAATGGGATGTATGTACCTAGAAGTAGATATGGATTTTGCGCACAAATAATTCATGAAAATTTCTTCGTACAACATCAGCAATTTGTACTACACCTCCATACCTACCTTCGCCTTGCCGTCGTAATAAACCACACTTCCACTTGGATAGACTGTGATTATCTCCAGAAAGCTGAGCAACTCCGTTTGAGCGTAGCCGTCATTTGTGAGTATAAAGGAGTCCTCGTCGATTGCTGCCAGATCATTTGGCCTTGAAAGAAAGATGCGAGCAAAAATCTTTATTAAGAAATATAACGAGATAAGAGAATGAAAGAATAACCTGATGAATTTTTCGTCCTCAATGATTCGTACAAGGGCCAACTGAAGAGGATTGTTTCGATTCCAATCAAATACCATCACCGAATGTTCGAATTTGTTCGAATGTGAAATGACAAAGAGTCGAGCTCCAGTGGAAGTGATTACACGTGGGAAATGCCATGAGGGTGAAAGTTTTCCTAAATCATTTTTTTCTGATAAATTATCCATATAGGAAGTGAATGGAAATGCAGTAATTTCAGAAGGATCCTGAGGCGGGTAAAGTTCATGCACTGAGGACTTGAAGGCACAACCAAGATCAAGAGGGGATTCGTTAGTGTTCAAATTCAATATTGTAGGAGCGAAAGGACCGCCAGTGAAGAAACAACATGAGAAAGTGTCAAAGAGGCTCAAAATGAAAACCCCTTTTCCTTCAGTTACCCAAGAGCCAGGTCTGAGAGTAGGGCGTGTCTGGACGAGTCTTCCGACAATACAAAACACTGCCGTCAATATCGCCAACTGCTGGTCCCTTGCCAGCGATCGATGCGGGCAACACTTTACGCTGCTCAATTGGTTTCCGACAACTTTCCTTGCGTTTTCTGTTTCCCTGTCAATTTGTTTTCACTCATGGCTAGTCGCCGCGCAACTTGGCGCAGCAGCGTGGCACAAATCCTTCCACTTACCGTGTTCGGCGAATAACCTGATTCCACTTTTGCAATGGCTGATCCCCTTCCCAAAACCTTTTTAGCCTTTTAAAACGCTTTTCCGCCATGATATTTCCAAAACTCGGAACTGCGGCTCAGCATGTGCTCAGATGCGAGCATGGTCCTACTGACAAACATCGCCGATGACATACCTAGTCGCCCAGTTCACTATTCATCCTTTGTAAAATCATTTGTGCGTTCTTTGACATGTTCTTCAGACAGCAAATGTAGAAGACATAGTTGAAACGTTGAGAACCTTATAATGGAGCAGGGATGGGTCCCAAGCGGTGACTTCAAAAACGCGAAATTTGTATTTTACAAGTATTTAGTTCTGCTCACCTGATCATATTTCCCGTTAATTTTCAACGGTACGACTTTCCAACTGGCATTTTGACGGAAATCATAAAGGAACAGCTGGCCTTTTACTTCCTGAAACACTTGACGTTTCACCCTAAAAATATCAAATTGCCCTCGTAAAAACTTTGAATACACTTTCACCGCAATAAATATTAAAAAAAACATTACATCACATTCGGCACGTGTCGTTAGGTCCTACATCGCGCCGCCTCAGTTTCCGCTTCCATTGACGCCTACACACCTGCTATGATACTTAGCCACGCTAACTTTATAAAACAGTTTTACAAAAAGGGTCCATAAAAGCCACAAAATATCGCTGAAGGGAC